CAGCCTTCTCAGGAAACCTCAGCAGCCTGTTTCCATTGAAGGGGAAACCTGCCCAAAGCCTGCAGGACGCCTGGAAATTGAAAGGAAAAGCGCCGGTCAAATGGGGCAGCAGGCCCGGTCCCTCTGGCCTCGGTTCTCAGTCGCTGCACTTGGGATCAGGAGGGAGGGGGAATGAAGGGGACTTGAAGCCATCTTTGCACTTCGGGGGGCAGTTCAGGGGCTTCTCCAGCCCCTGGGGTTCATTAGAGCAGCGCAGCGGCATTTCCTGACACTGCTTCCCACGGCTGGAGGAAAGAGCTCCCCGGCTCTCCCCACAATCCACCCCTTGCCCCAGGGCTGTGAGCACGGCCTACTCCAGGGGGCTCTTTATACCTACCTTACGGGCCCTTTATGCAACACGTGGAAAACCTCAGAGGCCCCCAGGAATCCCCCTGCAAATGCCCCCGCCCCATCCCCTTTCCTTCCCCACCCCCGCCCTCCCGCCCAGGGACGACCCAACCCGATGTTCTGTCCCCCACGCCCTCTGCCAACCTCGCAGAGAGGTCGATGCCCAGAAGCGCCAACGGATGCTAAGAGGAGCCCCCTTTGCCCTAAGCAGCATGAGCAGCTCTTGGAGAGGGGACAAAGTCAGGGAGCCGTGCTCAGGGGGCAGATCAGGGTGCCCCCCTGCCTGGCACCCCACACTTAGAGGAAGGGGGGACACCCAGGGCCGGTGCAAGGAAGTTTCGTGCCCTAGGCGAAACTTCCACCTTGCGCCCCCCTCCCCCCAGCCCTGCGGCAGCACCCCCTCCCCCGTCCTGAGGCGCCCCGCAGCAGCTTCCCCCCCCGGGAGCCGTATGGCAGCTCCCCACCCCAGCTCACCTCTGCTCCGCCTCCTCCCCGAGCGCGCCACCCCCGCTCTAATTCTCCTCCCCTCCCAGGCTTGCGGCGCCAAACAGCTGATTGGTGCTGCAAGTCTGGGAGGCGGGGGAAGTGGAGTGGTGACCACGCGCTCGGAGAGGGGGCGTAGGAACGATGTAAAAAAAAATTGGGGGCACCGCTTTTTGGCACCCCCAAATCTTGGCGCCCTAGGCAACCGCCTAGTTTGCCTTAATGGTAGCACCGGCCCTGGGGGCACCATGGTTTTGCTGCTGAAGTGGGAGGCCCGACTTCCTGCCTCCATGTGCCATGGTGCGCCGTGCTATGCCCCGTGGAGGGGCCCTCGCTGCGCACGCTGGGCCAGGGCAGAGGGGTGAGATGGGGACACGCTGCTCCACCCAGACCCTTATTCCCAGGTGTTGTTCGGGGCATTTAAACGCTGGGGGAGTTCCCCCCTCCCCCGCCAGAGTGATCTGGAAACGTCCTGGGCAGGGGAAGGTGGAGCTGAGCCCCTCATTCCGCGAATGAGCTCTGGAGCTAGCGAGCTCAAGCGCGCTCTGGATGAAGCACCGCCCCACTAAGCGTGCGGTGCCCAGGCTCACGCGGTGCCAGGCACTCCGGAGCAGACCGCCTCCAGCTGAGCTTCCGCCGCGCCAGGCCTACCCCGGAGCCCAGGGGAGGGTGCCCATGTGTCCCTCCCTCCCTGCCCATCATGTCCCGGCTCCCGCCCCCTGGGACTCACCGTCTGGTCGGTGAGCGGCGGGAGGACGATGGTCTTCTCCATGGTGTTCATCACCAGCTTCCAGAGCTCCTTCAGCACCCGCTTCAGCACCGTCTTCTCGCAGATCTTGGCGAAGAGAGTCAGGCTGGGAACAGAGCCGGGGAGGGAGAGGATGGACTTGGGCTGTGGGCATGTCACCCGCCCCCCATCTACAGAGCCCCTAAACACACACACACACACACACACACACACACACACACACACACAC